GGCCACACCCCTAGCTCACTGCTCCCCGCCTCCAGCTCCCCTTTTACGCACCCCAGGGGCCGAGTTCCACGCCCTCACGGCCAACCCGCCGCCAGCCCCTCACCCCCACCAGCACCCCGAGCGCGTCTGCCTCTCCGCCGGCATCACCCCTGCGCGGTTCCCGACCAGCCGCAGCCTGCGGTCCCGACCCCCACCAACCTCTCAGGTGGCCGCGCAGGGCGCCGGCCCTGGCGGCTGCTGTCCCCTGCCAGCCCAGGGAGGCCGTGGCCGCAGAGCCTGGTGACTACCGTCTGGACCGGCAGAGTGGTCTGGCGGCCGCGGGGCCCTGGCGACACAGCCCGGAGGCTTTAAAGAGCGCGGCCAGCTTGGCTCCCCTCAAGCACACTCGCGGGGCCACACAGTCAGAGGGGTGTGTGTTTTTAATAATTTGTTCCGATGGGCTTGAGATGTGGCCCCGCTGAGGGGACAGGGAGCGTCCTCGCGGTCACTCACCCCACTGGTCCCGGTGGCCGTGCAGGAGCGCAGCCTACCCTGCAGGCCTCCGCGGAGAGGCTGAACGTCCGTCTTCTTTCCTCCTCAGAGATGACAGCCCCGCACCTGACAGGGAACCTGTGGCACAGGCCAGGATCAAGGAAGGGCCCGCTGACTGTGCCGCTCGGCTGGCTGGGCTCGGGGCCCTCTGCACTGGGGTCGCCCCCCAGGGTCCAGCACGGGCCTGGCCCGCAGGGGTCTTTCATAGGGGTTGGGGGACTGAACTTCCTTGGCCGTTCTAAAAGCTGAAAAGGAGCTCAGAGCTCCTTCGCGAGTGAGTGGTGGATTTATTGCAGGAATGGGGCAAAACTGGAGTGTCTGGTTATTTTCAAATCCCCGTGGAGCAGTTTCCATGGGCTGCCTTCATCAGGGCTGAGATCTCTTCTGATTAGCAGTCTGCCTGCCCTGGAGAGCTGACCTGTCCAGATGTCCCAAGGAAAAAGAAAACCAAGCACCCAAAGGCACACCTGTAATCTCTTCCCACTGTGGAACTCGGAGGGGGGTGTGTGTGTGTAGGTGGTAGTTTTGCAGACTCCTTTGTGTGTGTGTTTTAATCCTCACCGGAGGATATTTTCTCCATGGCCGGAATCAAACCTGTGACCTTTCACTCTGAGGGCCGACTTTCTAACCACTGAGCCAAACTGGCTAGGACGACTCCATACTTTTTAAATTGAGGAATATTACTCAAGAAGGTCTCCAAATATCTTTTATCCTCTCTGAGAAGCATAAGAGTAGTTTCTATTTATTTTTTGATCGCAAGAGAATGAAAGTTCATAATACTTACAGTCTCCTTACAACTATTATTGGTATTCCTGGGGCAATAAATGGAAATAGAATATTGCCATTATTTTAAACTTTCAATTAAAATACAAAGTTAAAATGATTTGCATTAAAAAGTAAATACAGAAACATCTAAAGTCAAAAGTGGAAGTCCCCTGTCTCAGCCCCGCTCCAAAGTATCAGCATGAACATCCCAGTGTATTTCCTTCCAGTCTTTTCTATGCCGTTGAAACAGTTTCTCCTGGGGGTCTTCAGGAACAAAAAGCTAAATCATGAAAGATGGCAGGCTTTTGCTAGGAAAAGACTGGAGACTAGTGGTTAGTTTGGCCTCTCCGTTTCTTTGAGAAGCTGAATAACCCATCCAGGGTTATATGCCACTTGGTCATATGACTGGGTGACCAGTTTCAGATTTAAGGGCCAGAGTAGAACCCAGAATGATGGGGCCCACTCGCTGCTGCCACCTGCTGTCATCAAGGCTCACTGCAGGGCACTGCCCCCTGGGGCTCCCTCAGGATGGCAGGGCCCAGCCAACACCAGCCTCTTTGGGACCCTCCTGCAGCTGCACTGGCACACCCTCCTCCCCTCCTTAAAACCTCACCGCTCCATTGCTCTGGAGTTTGTATTTCCAATTTGTAGCTATCTAGCCATTGTTGCTTTGCTAGGGTAACCATGAAAATGAAAAAAGAAAACACACACAAACATACACTATTTTCTCTCATAAGTGGTATAACGAGCAACATTAGCAAACTGCTATAATCTCATGGTTACAGTGAGTGGCTTGTCACCAGGTTCTTAGGTAGGTTTTTCCTTGGGTTTCTAGAAGTACTCTGTCACCTGGATTTTGGAATCTCACCATCTAGGCCTGTAAACACCACAGTCCAATGATTTCTTGGTGATCACTCATCTGTGTGTTTGGGGGGGCGGGGATTGTCCGAGGAGATCACTTATTTTAAAAAGCATTTTAAATCATCATCTCATATTAACGCAACAATTCTTTAAAGAGTCAGAGTCATCTGGCTTTACTTCTCTTACATTGTTACGGGGGAAATCACCTAATATATTCCATTCAAAATTTTCAGGCTCTTATTAATTATGAGATCTACTTTTCCAAACCAAAAATATAGGTATAGGCCAATTCTGGATCACAACAACTCAAGAAAGCATGAATTTTCCCACTTGCCTTGTTTTTCCCAAAGGAAGAGATCTCAACGTGAACAGATATTTGCACACTCATGTTCACAGCATTATTAGTCACAATGGCTAAAGATGGAAACAACATAAGTGTCCATTGATCTATATGGTGGTCTATACATACAATGGAATATTATTCAACCTTAAAAAATTAGGAAACCATGTCACAGGCTACAACATAGATGATCCTTGAGGACATTATACTCAGTGAACAGCCACAAAAGGACAGATACCGTATGGTACCACTTCTATGAGGCACCCAGAGCAGTCAGATTTATATGGATAGAAAGTAGATGGTGGGTACAAGGGCTGAGAGAGGAAAATGGGGAGTTAGTGTTGAGTGCAGAAAGTTTCAATTTGGAAAAATGAAAAAGTTCTGGTGGTGATTATTGCACAATAATGTGAATGTACTTGAAAATGCACACGTAAAATTAGTTAACATGATACATTTATGTATGCTCACCTATGCTTCCATGTCATTGAATCTATTCCGTTCATCAGTTTATTAAGTTCTTTAGATTCCACATATAAGCGAGATCATGTGCTGTTTGTCTTTCTCTGCCTGGCTTATTTCACTTAGCATAATTTTCTCCAGGTCCATCCATAATATCCTAAAGGGTCCAAGATTATTCTTTTTTACAGCTGCATAGTATTCCATGGTGTATATGTCCCACAGCTTTTTATCCACTCATTTACTGATGGGCACTTGGGCTGTTTCCAGATCTTAGCTATTGTAAACTGTGTTGCTATGAACATCAGGGTGCATATATTCTTTCTGATTAGTGTTTCAGGATTCTTAGGATATATTCCAAGAAGTGGGATCACTGAGTCAAAAGGCAGCTTCATTTTTAATTCTTTGAGGAACCTCCATACTGTTTTCCATAGTGGCTGCACCAGTCTGCATTCCCACCAGCAGTGTACTAGGGTTCCCCTTTCTCCACATCCTCGCCAGCACATATCGTTTGTTGATTTGTTGATGGTAGCCATTCTTACAGGTGTGAAGTGATACCTCATTGTGGTTTTAATTTGCATCAAGAGAGATCTCTTTTTCTCAACACTGAAAGATACTGATTGATCAGAGACATGTCAAAAAGTATTCTGAACTCAAGCCCACATCAAACACTGTTAATGTCTCTATTCTATTTTATTAGAGCTATAATGCACCAAAAAAAATTCCTAAGCCCATATTTATTGACCATAAACTTTAAACAAATCAGGCAAGTCTCAGCACACAGCTCTCTTTCCCTACCCCGTGTGGAGTCATGTTCGAGTGTGGTCAATTCATTTAGGGGAAAAGTACCAGAAAATCACTCTTCCAGGCATACAAGGCCTGTTTGGATCCCTCTTGAAGACAGGAAGATGGTGGCAGCTAGTGGTTGGTATGTATATGGAAGGACTTCTCAGCTAAGCGAGGCAGGAGGGCCAGGAGAAGGCTGCCTTTTCTTTCAAGTAGCAGAGAGGGGAGCCACTCTCCCCAGGACTTCCTTTCGGGAGTGCAGTGGCTCCCTTCTTCCCTGCTGTTCCCTCTCCCTCCCTTCCTCCTTCAAGTCCTCTTTCTCCACTGGGCCTCCCCAGGGCCTCCCCTGCTGCCAGCTCTCAGGTTTGCTGAGAAGACTCGGAATTTCCTGAGCTGACTTCATGTGGCACAAACTATTCACTGTGGAAAGAATAGTAAAACAGTGGCCACTTTCAGGAGGATTAGGATTCTCAAGATAAATGATCCCAAAGTATGTTTTGTCTTAAAAACAAAAGCAAAACCCAGGAAAAACCATTTAGGCCCATTTTCACAGAAGAGCTCCACCTCCAGAAATTTGGGATGGCAGCCCTTGGGGCTCAACCACAGCGTTGGTTCTGGCGCTGAGCCCTTTTAAAATTGATAGTGCCATCTAACCAGAGGGTGTATTTATAGTCTGGGTTGGATAAAAGGATGCATAGATCTCCTGTCATTAAGGATGCCGCCGCCCAGACTGGTGTAGCCCTTTAGGAAGACTGTAGAGGTTATTCTCAAGCAGCAATTTTAAAGTATACCATCAACATCAATACTAATATCTACTCTTTGGAAGCTTCTTTATAACTTCTACCCAACACCTTTACCTCTGAGAATTCATGTAAGTCTTACACAACACTTTGAGTTTGCTGGAATTATTTCAGGTTCACAGATAAAGAAATCAAGTTCAGAGCCATTAAGAGATTTTGTCCATGGTTATACAACTTACAATAAAAACCAACATTGCATAACTTTGTAAGTATTTGGGCTAATTAGAAAAGATATCGGTATGAGACAGCACTTGGCAGAGTAGCTGGCACACAGGCGACCTCAGTAGATACTATTGAC